ATCGCTGGGTATTTACCACGCGCGCCAGCTTTCGTCGCCGAACTTGTTGTTTAACGGATGTCGATCCGGGATCGCAGCCATTTGGCTTGTTTCGCTTGTGATTGAATGGAACACTTGTGTCAACATCTGAATATGTTAAGAGTACAACTGGTAACACTGATCACTTACGTTTTCCCGTTATTCAGGCAATTTGATAGTTATTATTTCGTATTTCCCATTGAAAAACAAATCCTTGTGATTTCTACTAATTGATTAATTTGGTCGAGAAGCCAGTTAGTGCCCGAAATCATGGAGTGACTCACCTCCGATCTTTGTTATGAGCGCTGTATTCGCTGCGGATTCCTGTTATAAAGCCATTGTGAGGACACTTGAAGACCACTGGCCTGTCGTAGCTGTTCGCGAAATGTTCCCAGGCACAGTCACTGCTTCTGTGACGCGGGTCGGGACCAACTTTACATTTAAAACTGTGAATACGGTCTTCTTTGCAATTTCTGTGTATACTTTTCCAGAGTTTCACGGATCTTCCTGAAAGACCAACGAAATGGCTTTGATTAATTGTCCTAACTGATCAATTATTTTTCGTTCTGATATCATAAAAACAAACAGAAAAGATATAGAAGTCACAGAGCTATGCAGTATAGACGTGCCTTCAGTACGTGTTGAGCCTGAGAGGGAAGCTTTTTGTAGAAATTCTTTGCTTGTGCACTTGAAAGAGATAATACAGATACAATGAATGATTTTATGTTTGCAAGTACAAAACCGCAAAATTTTGAAAGCATTTCAATTAAAACTAGTAGAAGGAGCCTAGCTAGATCTTTCATGGGGAAAGGATCGTAAAACATTTGAAACTGAAATAAAATCTGCCTACCGTTTTGATTACATTCGAATTTGAAATTTCGTTGCCATTTGTTAACCCATCTGACGCCTGTAGGTCTATGTGAACTACACACAGGGCGGCGGCGGCGCCTCCGCCTCCGCCACCACGATGCCACATCGGCAGGAAAAATTAGGAGCTCGAAGAGCATCATCAATAACAGCAACTTGACCAACCTCTTGTTAGCCATAGCAATCTAAAACAAAGCGTAAGTTCATCAGGTGCCTCAGGAAGGATGAAGTAGATCAAAAGCTAGCTAAATTCTCGCATTGAGTCTTCGGCAGAGAAAACTTACCAGAGAAACCGAAAATGAACTTTGGCAACACCTGTGTGGATTGTGATATCAATCCTTGAAATGACTGATAAATTGTTGGAAAGCCACTTAATTTATGTCTTCGGTCCCATAGTTTGTCGACATCTAATTATCAAAAACAAGTTTAAGACACGTTCGTTGACAATGTAGATAATTAAAAAATAAATTGACGCAAATCGGTCCCCGTCGGTATTGAGTATAAGGATGTGAATCAAAAATGATAAAATGATAAATTCAGATTTCTTGGGAGAACTATTAAAAAATTTAGATGTAGTGTTTTAGGACGTATAAGTAATAACTGGTAAGTGAATCAATGTGTATCAAAATACCAGAATACCAAGAATTCGATCTAGGATATTTCTTAATTGGATCATCCATATTTTGGATCATCCATATTTTGGATCATCCATATTTTGGAACATTCTCAGTTAACTTCCTTTTGCGCTCTTTTCGCTCTCTCTTTCGAAAATAATAAAAAAAGAAAACTTCATTTAGTCATACCTAAGGAGAAATTTTCACTGTTCTCACCGTTTCCCACTTTAAACATTATCCGGTATAAATTCAATCGCAGCGTTACTCAACAAACTTACTGGACCGTCATGTGTAAACAACTCTTAAGAAATTCAAATTCGAACTTTGTGAATCCCCTTTGGGCTTTCTGAACGTGCAGTTAGCCAATATAACGTTTCATCTACGGTACGTTGTCTTACTTTGGAGNCAATCAATCTGCTACACTTCATCGACAGTCTGTTTTGTGGAACAATCGAAACTTTCCACGGGTAAAAATTCTTTAAAACTTTAAGGTTATGAAATGGGAAAAATTTCAAAGGTAATTCCCATGATTCTAACTATTAATGACCCGTTATATATCTTATTAGACGTTTTGTTGTGTAGTATCGCTGAGTATTTTTACGAGTTGTGCTGTACTTTGACGAGCCCGTAGGGCGAGTCGAAATACGAACAACGAGTAAAAATACTCAGCGATACTACACAACAAAACGTCTAATAAGTTATTTATTATCCAACGCGCCAAACTGTTATTTCAGTGCGGGCGAATTTCGCGGATATTTATTTACTGGGAGTGCGTGACAGAAGTATGCGAAGCAGATCGGAATTAATTGCACGTTGTCGTTTTTATTTTCTTCAATAAATGAAGAAATTTCCAGGTCTTCTAGCTGTTTTTCTTCGCTGGATTCATCTAATAGACTTGGATGTATATTTGCCAGCCATTCTGACTCTTCGTCGTCAGAAATATGATTCAAATTGCCCGCCATTTTTTTTTTGTTTAAACCGGTACTGTAGAGTACAAATACAGCGTGATATTTGTACTCTACGAAGTGTAGTTGGATAATAAGAGGAAGATATCATCGGAAATGTTGTTGTAAGCAGCCCTACAGTATTCAGGGTCAGAACATTTCGGATCAAGTCATCAGTATCTTAGACACTTTTCCCTTGGCGCTGTGATTGAAAGAATCTCTTTTAGGGTCTTTTCAGCGTCAATTGAATTTTTGCTAGTGGGTCCATGTACAAAAATGAGGAAAAGTTCCGAAATGGTTTCAGAGGGTGTGGTCAAGAGATTACGATCTTTTGGTCGTTTCGTGAGAAGTATTTCTTTGGTGAACTGTCGGCCAACTAACTGCTGTTTGATTAATTAAACTTTTTGGCTTGGTATATTTTTTTTCTTCCTCTACTAAATGGCCTTTTGTAAGATCGTGATGTTACTTCCAAGATAGGAGGCTGGTAAACCCGTTTGTAGCACGCTCAAGACAAGTTCATGGTGAAAACAAATTAAACCGATTAAAAAATAAATAAATAAATAAAAAGTGGCGTAGAACACAACTTCCTCTTAGAGTTTAAGTCGGTTCACAGAAGACATTTTTAATGATAAAGAAAGGAATAAAGTCGCATGCAGTTCATATTATTTTTTTTTGGTCGCAAACGATTCTTAGTTTTTCTTAGCAAAGTGTATATGTTTTATCGCTGATATATGATTTTGTCTCAGATCATGAGAACTGCTTGAGGCCTCTTTCAATTTTTAGGAAAATTTCCATGCAATGTTTGAAAAAACTTCCGGCTCTATATGTAGTTTTTTGTTTAATCGAAATGTTACAAAAGATAACCATTTTCCCTAAACCTTACTAACAGCAGACAACTCTTTTTCAAGAAATTAGTAATAACGTTAAGAGAAAAGTTTATATTTCAATCTAAATTTTTCTGAAGTCTTTATTCCAATTAGATCTCTGTTTAGTCTATGGAGCGGCGAAAACACTGCGCTAACACCTCGCCAATACACATCCTGTATGCCGATAATATAGTCACGACTTCTATCACCATCGCAAGTCACAAGCAAGTCTCACCAGTTGTTACAATAGAAGCGTGTTTCACGATCCGCGTTACAAAAATAGGGACCTTAAGCAAACCACGACCGCGACGGTAGCGAGGACGTGGCAAAACAAAAGATCTGGCTCCGGTTGTTCAAAGGGCGGATAACGCTATCCAGCGGATAAATCGCTATCCAGCGGATAAGTGTTACCAAAACGTACTGCGCTCTCCACCGGATAGAGACTTATCCAGTGTATAGCGTTATCCATCCTTTGAACAACCGGGGCCTGGTGGGTAGAACAATAGATCAGCACGCGCGTTTTTAAACTTTGTACATTTCTTAGCCGTCCTTTGCAAAAACCAACGTGAAATCACCAAAGTTTGCGTCATGTACGAACGGAAACCGCAAAGGCAAATTATTTTAATTTTTATTCGGAACTCAGCGCTGCTACTACACGTTATGCTGAGTTTGAGGTGTGGCGCCGTAAGAGATGGCAAACACCTGCAGCCATTTTCGAAATTCTAATTAAAAGTAGAAATTCATTTTTTTAAATCGACGTCTTCCGTGGTTTCGCCGTCCTGACTGCTTAATTAAGGTCCCTAATATCATCTTTAGGACGTCACTGGGTCCTTTGCCTTATACTGTGCATTAAAATTCCAAAATTAATCCTACGGTAACGTAAAAGCTACTTCTTAACCCAAAGACTAGGGTAAACACGCGTTAGACTTAATAAAGCTCTTTAATAAGTTTTAAGAGACATTCCTTGTGTAAAATTTCAGTGTCTCGAGTCCAGTTCCAGATTTTACACTTTTTATGGGGTGTTGCGTGATATTACGGACTTTAAGAAACCACGACGGCGACGCCAAGGAAGACTTCGATAAAAAAATGAATTTCTACTCTTAGTTAGAATTTCAAAAATGGCTGCAGGAG